TAAAATGCGGGATTCTATTTCGGGGGAAAAATAATTTCTTTAAAATTAAATGTGAAGGCTCCCGCAGTGATATAAGGAAATGAGATATTGTGAATTTATTTATGATTTGGGACTACAAGGTGGTATCTTGGGAGTGCCCTTGTTGATATTTCTCTATGGTTGCACTTGCATTTGGTTATTTTGTATTTTCATTGAACATGTAAATTCCTATTTTCCTTTCTTGAGGTATTATTTGCCTTTATTCTATGCAGTTAAATTGTGGCATACTCCTTACTAAATTTATTCCCATTTATTATTATTATTATTATTATTATTATTATTATTATTATTATTATTATTATTATTATTATTATTATTATTATTATTATTATTATATTGTTAAACTTTTCACCCTGTCTTTTATTATTACCAGTAGGGCCTCACCTGACTTCATCACTACTCTACCGAGGTTAGGCTTGGCACTTATTGGGTACCGCTGTGGTGTACTCATACTACGCTTATGCACATATTTTTGTGCAGATCCAGGTACTACCTACGAGACCGGGTATCAGTGAGCTAGACTGTACGCGGAGCCTTCAAGGTATATCTGCCATCGTCTGCAGACCTCAAAGTCCCCTTCTATCCCTATTATGTTATTTTTTCTTATTCTCTTTAGACTCCGATGTATAGAGATACTTAGAATAAATTCTTAAAAGCTTGTGACTTATTTTTACCAGGTTTTAAGAGTTGTAACTATTTGAACCGCGATTTGATTTATTTTATATGTTGAGATTTGAGTTACAGTTTTGTATTCCGCATAATTGATAGGCTTGCCTAGTCTTAGAGACTAGGTGCCATCACGGCATTCTACGGAGAAAAATTGGGATCGTGATAATAATTCGTCTAAAAATAGGGGAGTCCATTTGTGGGACTATATTCGTTGTATTCGCGCTACTGTATTCATGAATACAGAAGCGAAATTCGCCTTAAAATAGGAAAATCCATCTGTTTAATAACGGAAAGATGATCAATTAGCGTGTATCACACCTAATATAACTCAACAAAATCAATTGTACATAAAATTTGCTGCTACTATGTTGTATTCTATGTATTTGCGCGACTGTATTTATAAATACAGTGAGGTAATCAAAAAATATGGTGTATACCATTCTATTCAATTCGATTGTATACATTGTACTCAATCCATAAATATTCATTATTCACTATTATACATTATATTCAATTCACCGTATTCAATTTGACTGTATTCAAACAAAAAAAATCACAAAACACAGTGATATTCGATTGTATTAAAAAAAATACAAACCTTCATAATAGATAAATATATGAGAAAAAATAATATATTTTTACAAAAATACAATGTATTTGAGTGTATTTGTACATAATACAATGTATTTGTATCATTGTATGTGGCTAAAATAATAAAGAAGAGAAGAAAGTTCGTCGGAGATAACTTTTTCCGGCCAAGAAAAAGACTGTATGCATTGTATTAAAACTAAAAATTGAGACGAACAAAAATTCAGCCCTCAAATCTTCTCCGGCGTAGCCATTGCCAGATCCGTTTGCCTAAGAGGATGAGCCAATAGTGGATGATGACGCCAACAATTCTAACACCAACGATCAAAATTGAGTGCTTTAGTGGGTATATCTCGTGTAACCCTCTTCGGAGTTGTTGAATCAGCCATCGAAGACGAAATTTGAAGTTTCATCCTCAAAACCTAACAATGGCGAAAACAAAAAAAAATGAGTGAAGAGAAAAAGAAGAATGGCAGAGTAATTTGGCGTGAACCGACCAAAAGCTTTACCAATTACCACGAACTTTTGGAGCAAAAACGTTAAGGATTAATTCCGAAAAATTTGTTCCTACAATCTTGTTGTGAGGTAGAAAGATCGTGGAAAGAGAAAGAAGAAAAATCTTGTTGTGATTTGAGAGATAACGCGTGTTAACTGAAGAAAGAGAGAGAAAAAACATAAATAACGTATTTCACGCATATATGGTAGTGTATACAATAAATACCTATGTTGATATAAAATATAAATGGTAGCTATAGATAATAATATTTTAAAACGGTTTTGGTTTATAATAAATAAGATGTAATAGTTTGCTGTAGTAGGTAAAGTTTTTTTTTAATAACTTGGTATTTGAGCGAGTTTGTACGCATCTCGACTACTTTTATAGGTTACGTGCTACTTCCCGCTATTAAGAGTATCCGCTAACTCTGTCCACCAAAGCTTGGACATATAAAAAAGTCGCTTAGTATTGTTTTATCTATGTTGTGATTTAAACTTGAAACCTCATCATTTTCAACCCACTTTGTTGACTACTAGGTCACCCCTTCGGATTCTCCTCCAGTAGTTTTTACAAGTAGTTGCGAAATATACAAGATTACATCAAGCAATAGGGTAGTAGTTTCATGAAACTTAAAATATTTGCAAACGTTATACATAAAGCATAATTTAGAGATACTCTAATTGGTAAAAAATTGCATCTTGATTCTAGTAATAATTTCTTTTATAAAACTTCACTGAATGTCAAAGCTCACTCGAATTTGAATTGAAAATTTAGGTTTTCCAAAATAGAATTTGTTTCGAGCAGACGTTGTTGAGGGTATGTCTAAACGAGCTGAATTTCAATTTTGGAACGATTTGGCGAAGATTTGAATGAAAAATTCAAAGTAGAAGATAAACATTGAAGAAGATAAGATCTATGTATCACTTATGTATCCTATATTATGTATCCTATATGTATTATTTGTATATCTATGTAAACGTGTGTGTGAAATACATGTGACACATATATTTTTAAACTCTATATCAACTACGAACTTTGACTCCAAATTAGTCCAATTCTTTTCCAATCTTTCTCAAAATTTATTTATTGGCTCATTTATGTGTTTTCAATAAATTTTAACCATACCTATTAAGAAAAATATTTTTTTGCCTAAATTTTTTAAATATTGTATATCACTGATAATGAATTTTGGTTGCAAACCGGTCCAAATTTGCTCCAATCTTTCTCAATTTTTGAATATTGCCTCAATTCAACTAATTTTAACCATGTCCATTAAAAAAAGCTTTTTTTTCCTAGTTTTTTTTTTTACATTATATATCATTGGCAAGTTTCTCTAGCTATTTATGGTAGCATAACTTAATGATTAATTATTGGTAAATAGCATATATTATTTATTTATTTATGTAGTTCTCTCGTTTCTCTAAAATATTATACTTCAATTGCTTTAAATTCGAAATACAATGTCCTTATAGCAATTACTTCCAAAATCTTTGACAATTTCAAGTGAACCGAGAAATATATATTCTTTTTGTTTCATTTTATGTTGTATTTGGCTTAATACAATGTTATTTGACTTTTAACTTACATTAATAAAAGCAAGACAATATTGAACTAATAATTGAAAAGTTAGTTTGATAAAAGGACGATGCATCAAATTTTAAATTTTAAATAGTTTAATGAATTTTAATTCTTGAAAGTTATGAAATTGTACGGAAATTAAATTGTGTCAATTCATAGAATATTTAGAAATAGAAAGAGTATCACACAAATTAGTGTGAAATAAATAAATAAATAATTCATGACATTTCACCAATGGATAAGTTATGTAAAGGAGCACCCAAGAGTGTGAACTAATAGTCAATTGATTGAGAATTATGAGTTATTAGGTTCAAACTCCAGCGAAGTCAAAAAGCACAAAATAATTTATTCTTATGTTGTTGTTCATGGGAATTAACAAGTACGCGTAAAACTAATTTATTCTTAATTTAATTTACTTAGGCAAAATACTAAATTGACTGGTCGACTGAAACTAATTATAATCGCAAGCCAAAAGTACATAACATATGTATATAATACATACATATATAAATAATATATATTTTATCGGCTATTATTTTTGGGAACGGCTAAAAATATATACATTTCATAACCACAAGAAACTATTATTTTCTGCTGCATACACTAATTTTCAAGTAAACATTGCTGGGGGTGTCCTATTTGTTCGCCCCCATTTAACCTGTAGCCGCTTTTTTTTTTATATTTTAAACTAGTACCCAAAGTTTAAACAACTTAAGGCTTTTTTCTCCTCCTCCTCCTTCTTCTTATGGTGGGAATGATTTTATATGGTGTTTGTGAACATATTTTAAGATAGTTTATGATATTTTATTGTGGTGAGTTGTTGTGTCGCTTTATTTTTTACTACTCCTTAGGGTTTTCTCTTCTTCTCCTTCTTCTTAATTGCAAGATGGATTTGTTAGATTTATCATTGTTTTGATAAATTGGTGATTGAAGTTAATTTTTGATGATATTTGAAGGTTATGTTTCAAATTTGAGTTCATTTGGAGTAGATTTAGGTGTTAAATCGTATATTAAATTGTTAAAATTTGAAGAACAAATTCGTGTTTTTGGGCAATTTGCACTTCAGACCTATTTGGCCTTAAGTGCATATGAATTGCAATTTTTTCACTTCAGACCTTTTTGCGTTAATTGCATGAAATCATTGGCTGCACTTCAGACTGTTTTGGCATTAAGTGCATGAAAGTATGAAACCACCAGTTGCACTTCAAATCTATTTGGCCTTAGGTGCATTTGAAATATAATTTTTTCATTTCATACCCCTCTGACCTTAAGTGCATGAAAATATTTGTGCTACTTTAGACCTATTTGACCTTCAGTGCATCTTAAGTGCAATTTTTGCACTTTAGACTTAATTGACCTTTAAGTGCATTACACTTCAGACAATTTTTTTTTAACTTCAGACCCGATAAGTCTGAAGTTGAACGTAAATTGGGTAGGTTTATAATATTTTTTTATAAAGTGGGTATAACTTCATTTGTGACCCCAAAACCGGGTATAAATGCAAAAGCCCCAATTTTCAAAGATGGAGGACACTGGACTTTTGTCGAATAAAGCCCAAGTTCTATGGGCTTATATAGGCCCATTCACAGACCGGGATTCAACAAATTACAGCAGCTATAAACCCTAGCATCCCCTCTTACTTCTCTTCTCTTACAAAAATCCCTCGCTGGAGCAACGTGAAGAGAGATCTGCATCGGCGCCGCAACAGCAGCAGAAGTGAAGATGGAGGCAGCGAGAACTGTGAAAGATGTTTCCCCTCACGAGTTTGTGAAGGCTTATGCCGCTCACCTCAAGCGCTCCGGCAAGGTATATGCGTTGAATGTATATATGTATTTGCGTATATAGATTCATTCGTTTATGTTTACAGTGATTGATAATGGCTCTTGTAATGTACAATGCTCGCTTAATGCATTCATGAATATGTAGAATTTGTTTATAAGCAGGAAATTTCTATGCGTCTTATTTATTTCTTATTAGCTTCGATTTTGGTGTATAAAATTTTCTGTAGACTGCTATAGGTTTCATATTAAAAGTAATTCGTCGTTGAGCATTTGGTAGACTCTAATTAAATTGCTAAATACGAAAGAACCAACTTACTTTTGACAGTCTTCTTCAAATGATATGCAGAATTATGGAAAAATTTTCTGTAGCTATCTGTTGGTATTAGGAAAAAGGCATTTTTCATTAGATAAAGACGTTTTTGATTTTTTGATTTAAACTTGCATTTGGTGTAGTGCTGTTTGTAGCACACAGCTGCTTAATTTAGTCCATCTTGTTTAGATAGTTACTGAAAGATTGAGGTAGAAAAAACTAGTTCTTGGAGAGTATAAGTAGATATTGAAATGAAATTTGTTGAGTGCACTTCGGATTGAGTGAAACGTCAACACCAAGTAAAATTGTTAGAAACGGGACACTTTTGTTTACTTATTTAGGCTTGCAGCACTGACTTGAATCTTTTCTTGAATCAAGTACATGGTAATATTTGATTCGTTGGTGTTGACTAAACTTGTTTGAGGTGTAGCAGTTGTTGTATTGGTGTCTGTGAGACTTGAATCCTAGACTGCTTGCTTACTCTGATATTACATGGATTGAGTGAGTCTGCTTCATCTAGATGCTTAAGTCTGCAGAGAGGGATACCTAAGAGGACAATTTTTGTTCTAGGTTTGCATATTCTAAACTGTTACAATGATTGTTTATCTTGAATGAGTTCATTGTTTGCTATATTTAAGAGCTAAATTCTGAACTATTTTACTGCAAATTATTTCTTGTGTGAAGTAGACATTTTGCTTTAACTGGCTCTATAGACCTAGCATGAAGGGTATGTCATACTCTTTATAGTTAATTTCTGGGCTTCCAGCCAATGTTACCGTTGCAATTTCTTCGAACGTTGAGTTTAAAATTGTGGTGATTGTGCTTGTATGTTCTTTTTGCTTTATGCAGATGGAGCTTCCTGAGTGGACTGATCTCGTCAAGACTGGTAAACTAAAAGAGCTTGCTCCATATGACCCTGATTGGTACTATATTAGAGCTGGTATGTTTCATTTCCACTCAGAAGCAGGAACTTATCTAATAGTAGTTTCCCTTCTTTCTAACATATTTTGATGTATGGCAGCCTCTATGGCAAGGAAGATCTATTTGAGGGGTGGTATTGGTGTTGGTGGATTCCGAAGAATCTATGGTGGTAACC